AGTCCTCGAGCCTGCCGCCCCCGCCCCCGCCTCCCTCTCCCTCCTGCTGCCCTCACTCTGATCTCTGCAAGTCTAGGCTCCCAGAGTCAGCTCCTCTGACTGACATCATTTCCTCTCCTCTCATGTATTCCCTGCTCCATCCTCTCCATCACGGTTTCCTGCCGTTAACCCTATAAACTTCTCTTTTTAAGCCCAATGACTTCCATGGTTTGTAAGTTTTTGTTTTGGTTTGGCTTTGGTGCCGGGGATCAAACTCAGGATCTTGCACTTGCGATGCAGGCGGCGGCACCACTGAGCTAAATCTCTGGCCCTTGTTTCTTAATCCAAGAAGCTTTCCCAGCCTCCACTTCACCTGATCGCTCAGCTGATCAGCTTCTCCCAACCACACCCTCCCTCTTGGGTCACTGTTCACTTGGCTTCCGACCCAACCCATCCACTCCGATTTTCTTCGGGCAGCCCCTCCTTATCCAAACGTTGGAGATTCTGGAAGGTCCCCTCCAGGCCCTTTTCTTCTTTTTCGACATTTGTTCCCGCAGCTCCGTGCTCTTTCTACGGAGAGGCTTTCATTCCTAGTTCTGCGGGTGATTTGCGAAAGTGTTCTCCAGCTCAAGCCTTCTCGCAGGGCTTGGAAATCTGGAAATTCAGTCTGTCTGAACGTGTCCAGATGGAACAGTGGCGGCCTTGCCTCACGAGCCAGGTCTGCCTACGAGTTGCTTATCCAGCCAGGTAGGCGGCTGCAAGCCTGGTGTCACCCTTCCCTCACCGCCCACAGGTAAGAACCTCCAGTGCCCTGCCCAGTGTTCTGAAATCTACCCACTGCCTTTCTCTAGTGATAATCTTCCATGCTCATCACATCTGACCAGCGTTCTCCAGTCACAGTTTACCGTTAGTCAGTACCAACCAACCCCTCACCATCCACCTGCAGTCCACATGAACTTTTTCTTTTTTTTTTTTTTGGTACTGGGGTTCAAACTCAGAACCTTGGACTATACTGGGGATCAAACTCAGAACCTTGGACTTGCAAGGCAGGTGCAGTGCCACTGAGCTAAATCCCCAGCCCTTGAACTTTTTGAAATACAAAACTGTTCTTTCTTGTCGAGGTACTTCAAATTCTTCCCACTATTTATTAACTTGCCACTGTTCTTTTCAGTACTGGGTTTGAAACCAAGGCCTTTGCACTGAACTACATCCCCAGGCCTTTGTATTTGTTCATTATTTTGAGACAGGGACTTGCTAAGTTGCCAGGCCTGGGCTCAAACTTGTGATCCTTTGGCCTCAACCTCCCAGAGTGCTGAAAAATATAGTTCTTAATATGATTTGATCTATGAATCTCCACCCGTCCCTTCCTTTCCAATCTTCCAAAAAAAGGTACCAAGACAGACACAGAATCCGCCAAGGTACCCATCAGTAGATGAGTGAAGAAAGAAAATATGACACAGATATACTATGGGATATTAGTCAGCCATGAAATAGGATGGAAGCTGTTTGATCATTACACAGTGTATACACAGATCATGTTACCATAGCATACCCCATAAACACATGCACATATTATGTGTTAATTTAGAACACCAGATTATCACCAGATTATCACTGCTATCACACCAAAGAAGGGGGAGGAGCAAGTAAAGGGAGGGGGAGGAGAGGGAGGGGAAGAATACAAAAAGAAGCAAAAGAACAGGGAACTGGAGAGGGAAGAGAGGGAGCCAGAGGGTGTCCTACCCCAGTCCGAGTGTTGTGGATGCACATGCAGCTCGAGTCCACTCGTAACAGGGAGCACAAGGGCGGCTGTGACACTACGGCCCCATCCCGTGTGCCTCACACCCCCATCTCCCTCCGCCTGGGCGCCGCTCACCTGCAGGTGGTGGGCGGTGATGGCCGGCTGCCCCCCAGGGCACCACACGTCCTCCGTCAGCTGTCGCAGCACCCGGAAGCAATGTCTGCGGCAGCCCCCGTCCTCGTCCAGCTGCTGCAGCAGCACCTGCTCGGCCTGCGAGAAGTTCAGCTGCCAGTGGTAGTTGGAACGGGCCAGCAGGCTGAAGCCAAAGGACTGGAAGAAGAGATGAGCCATCTTCAGAGAATGAGGAGGATGGCGGAGCTGTCCACCAGGCTGGGGACCCAAGGAGGTGGAAGTGTGTCCTCCGCGGGCCAGATCCGGACAAGGGCTGGGTGTGCTCCAGCGTGGCCTCCCCTGGGGCCTCCCAGCCCGGGCCCCTAAACGAGGCCCTGTCCACACATCTTCCCTGGCTGGTCCAGCTGAGCCAGGGGCCCTTCCTTTCTTACAAGCTCAGAGGGCCTCGTGCTCCCCTGGGAGAACCGCAGAGGTAGGGAACCCTCACTCTGCTGCGGAAGTTCGGGGGCAGCGAGGCCCAGACGGGATCTACTGCCTGCGTCTCCGCTCCTGGGAGCCAGGGCCCCCAGCCCGGGTACCTTGATGCACTCCGCTCTCTCTGGGGAAGGCCAGCGCTTCATACACCGGGGCCACTGGGCTTTCTCTGGCCAGGCGGAAGGGATCTCCACGGTGGGGGCCAGCTCGATTTCCACCGGACAGACAGATGTTTCCACGGCAAGCCAGACTGCGGAGCTGCTGCTCAGCAGGCTCACTTTACCTGACGAGGCCAGCAGACAGACCATGAGGAAGGAGCCAGGGCCAGGAACCACCAACCACCAGGGCGGGAATCTGGGAGCAGCGGCCGGTGGCTGTAGGGGCGGCTTTCCCAGTGTCCGCAGCGCCATGAGAGGGGACATCCACAGTCCTTAGCCAGCAGCCTTTCTAGAGCATAGCGAGAAAAGTCCCCATGCCCTTAACACCCCTGTGGTATAGTTTATTTTGTTATATGTGTGTGGTACCAGAGATTGAATGAATGAGTTACATATATATATATTATCACATTCTCTCACAGCTAAGGTCTCATCCCCCTACTGGAATCTTTTTGTTTAAATTAATAGATTATTTTCAGGAGGTGCAACGGAAGATGCCGTAGAATACAATGGAAAAAGACAGTACTTCTGCTACATAACGTGGAAGTTGACCCTCCCTCTGTATCCTCCTTCATCCCACCCATGCACGGGGTCATTGGTTTTTCTTTTTCTTCTTTTTTAAATCAATTTCATTGGTACATTTTAGGCATACAGTATAATGACATTCATCATTGGAAATTTGTACCTTTACCTAAACTCTCTCGGTTCTTATTTTCCCCCCTTCCCCTGCCCTCCCTTCAACTTCTCCACCCTTCCCTATTTACAAAGACTTTGTTTTTATTTTCTCATATTAATTCCATTTCCTTCTTTCCTTTCTCCAATCCCTCCCACTTCCCCTACCTCTTTTGACCTTTTCTTTTTATTTCACAGTATCTATTATGCCTTTTGATCCTTATTTACACTTTCAGCCATCTCCTCTTTGACAAAGGGGCCAAACTCCCTCACTGGAGGAAAGATGGCCTCTTTAATAAATGGTGCTGAAAAAATTGGGTTTCAACTTGGTAAAGATTAAAACTAGATCCCTATCTTTCACCATGCACTAAACTAAAATCCAAGTGGATTAAAGATCTAAATATCAAAACAGAAACACTAAACTTATGGGAAAATAAATTAAGTAGAACTCTCGAAGACATTGGTATAAGAAAAGACTTTATGAACAAATCCTCAGCAGTGCGAGAACTTGTACAAAGATTCAAAAACTGGGATCTCATTATATTAAAAAGTTTCTGCAGTGCAAGAGAAACCACTAACAGTGCTAAGAGACAACCTACAATGTGGGAAAAAATTTTTACCAGCTGCTCCTCAGAGAAAGGACTACTATCTAGAATACATAGAGAACTCAAAAAAAAAAAAATCAGACTCCCCAAATACAAAGACCCAATTCAAAAATGGGCAACTGAAATGAATAGACATTTCTCAGATAAAGAAGTAAAAGCAGCAAATAAATATATGAAAAAATGCTCCACATCACTGGTCATTCGAGAGATGCAGATGAAAACAACACTGAGATTCCACCTCACCCCAGAAAGAATGGCTGCTCTCAAGAAATCAACCAATAACAAATGTTGGCGGGGTTGTGGGGAGAAAGGTACCCTTCTCCGTTGTTGGTGGAAGTGCAGACTGGTGCAACCATGTGGAAATCAGTATGGAGATGCCTCAAAGAACTAGGCTTGGAGGTCCATTTGACCCAGCTATTTCCCTACTGGGTATCTTCCCGAAAGAATGAAAGGAATCACACCACAGTGATATATATGCACCATTCGCCCCTGTAGTCGTAAGGCCTTTCAGAGTGTCATGATCGCTGGTCGGGGGGTCACGTGTGTAGGAAGAGGCCCTCACTGCCTTGCTTCCCAACCAGGCAGAGAGACAGAGACAGAGAGACACACAGAGAGGGAGACAGAGGGGGAGACAGAGACAGAGACGGAGACGGAGACGGAGGGAGGGAGGGAAGGAAGGGAGAGAATGAATTTGCAGTTTTCCAGCTTACAAACCACACTGTCCTTATTTCTAATGTGCTCCCCGTTCTTTCAAACCACAAAGTATGTTTTGCTTGTTTGCCTTTGTTGTAGGTAAGGATGAATCCTGAATGGGGATCTACTAGTTTGCTTTTCCTTGCTCAAGGAAGGAAACGGAAGCTCCTTCTTTCCTTGGCTGGGTGTGAGAAAGGGCTGCTGACCGTGTGGGTCTCCTCAGAGCTGCCGGGACTGGAGGGAGCACGCCTGGCCCTTCAGCATCCTTAACTGAATCACTGCACCTTCCTGGCCGCCTGAGTTGCTTATTTGCACTTTCACTGGTGATACTGTTGCAAAGGCAGAGGTGGGCGAATGAGGGCCGCCTGTCTGGCCCCTCCCCTGCCTCTGCGGCTGGCTGCGCTCCTCTCTTCACTTAGGTGCAGGCTGCCAGCTACTTAATCCCAGATTTCATCCAAGCCTCGGTTTTCTCATCAGTAAAACTGGCACAAAAGCAATTTTTACTTGCTGGGGTTGTTTTGAAGATTAAACAATCCACGAAAGTGTTTTCTGTAGGAATCCATTACACGTGAGTTAGGAGTACTATGGAAACTTTCAAAGTATCCTTTCCTTTCTAAACAAATGGAATTGGATATGGCTTCACAGTTGGGTTCTCTCATGTGATTGCCCAACATGGGAAAGTTTTTGTAATGTTTGTGTGCATCCCTATAGGCTGTGAGGTAGCTGGGTGTGGCAGGGTAGACCAGTAACCCCAGCGCCCCAGGAGGATGAGGCAGAAGGATGCAAGTTTGTGCCCAGCTGGGCAACTTAGCAACTTAGCAAGACCCTGTCTGAAATGTGAAAATAAGGGGGGGGGGCTAGGGGAATGGGGAAAAATAAGAATCAAGGTATGTCATGTAAAGGCACAAGATCTCAATGATGAATGTAACTATTGAATTTCTAAAATGTACCAATAAAGAAACAAAAGTGAAAAGGGCTGTGGACGTAATGTAGTTCAGTGCAAAGACCTTGGATTCAATCACAGGTATCACCAAAAAAAAAAAAAAAATTTTTTTTAAATTTTAAATCTGATTGTAATTCACTGGGCCGAGGCAGCATGTTTCACTCAGCCAGTTTCCCTTTGCTGGCCATTTAGATTATTTCTACATAGCTGCTGTTACATACCCTATGACAGAGGATGCACATTTCTCTGTATTTGGAGAAGTTTATTTCTGCAGCTGGAATTGCTGAATAGCCAGATGAGCTCATATAAAAATATGTAGTGGACAAATTGCCCTTCCAAAAAGGAGGTGCTGATTTACTGCCCCCAAGGACAGTGTATGGCAATTCCTGTGATCCCCACGTGGATGGAACAGGGCCCCAATTCGCACTGCTGTCAATCTCTCAGGAGTTTAAAGTTATATTCTTGGAATAGACACTAAATAACCCTCTCTCACTCTCTCTGTCTGTCTCTCTTTTTGTCTCTCTGTTCCCCCTCCCC